TAAAAAAGATGAACTTTAACACCACACAAACATTTAACATAATTACCGGTAGCTATAAATCAGCCATAGTCATTAATTCGTACCATAGCAGGTGGTAGCAGTAGTTGGGCACTTAAATAATTATAATTTCGACTTTTGACAAAAGGTAGACCCATCCCAAGTCTCCATAATTGTTATTTCTTGAAAAATACCTAGAATTCACCTTTAATACTTACAGCTTTCATTGTGCAACATAGCATCAATTTTACCACCAGCACCACTCCTGAATACTTGTCTCCAGGCTATTTCTCCAGTTCTTGCATGCAGCGACGCCAAGACATTTGATTCAGTAGCTACAAGTACACGACGACCAGCTGATGTTTGGTCAAAAGCCATAAACTGTGTTTTGCCTACATACTGCTTTCTCCTATCAAATGAAAAAAAAACTATGTCAGTTTAGTGAAATGAATACCAACCACAACAATTAGTACTGGCATTTGAGGTAAGCCTATGTGTACGTGTGAAATCACCCACCAGGTACAAGTAAAACAATAAGTTGTAAAGCTCCCCCTTTTTTTGAATGCGGAATCGTTATGACAGAAGTGTCCAACAAGGTGGACCTCAATGTGTTTCGCCTCAGTGTTTTTTTGTTTTGTTTTTGTATTTACGTAGCCAAACTCTAGAAAAAAATAAAGAAGCAAGACCTTTTCTATTGAACACCTACAGAAGTCTTAACTTTCTTTTTATCTGTACTGTTGTTTGCTCTATTTCAATATCAGGCTGGCCTAACTTGGGAATTAAAATTAGGGCCTGTCCTCGGCACCCTTCCCAGGCTTGAATATTTAAGTCTGTGATCACACATCAAGATTAGTCAAGCCTAAAATTTGGGTAAGCCTTGGCCTGCTTTATTTTCCAATGTGAAACCACCTAATATAAGATGAGTTGTGTGTGTTTGTCCACTCCTTGGTATCTCAAAGAGTAATTTATTGACCATCATTGTAATGTAACAGTGATGGAGAGGGCGATGGCAGAATTAAATCCAAGAAAAAAAGTCATGGAAGAGATCAAACAGGGGATCAATAACACAACGAAAAACTGAACACTCTCAAGCTGGGGGCGCACATGCGCTCCCCTGAGATGTCATACCGGTATCGTCCACGTTCAAAACAATTGTTATTTATGACCAATACTGGACAAACATCTATGTCTCTTTTGTTTTGTTAGATTGAAATTGATTCAAAACGTCAAGCATCCGTGGATCTGTGGGCGACGATCTACGAAGTTATGAAAGCATTGCCATTTGGATCTCATTC